GGCAGTTTCTTTAACTGCCCTATTTTATTTTTCTTTTTCTTTTTCCCAGCTATCTCGGAATCTRGCGAGATAGCTGGGCTCCTGCCATTTCCAAATCTGTTTTTCTTTTCTTTTTCTGATAAGGGGTTGGAAAGTTACAGCCCCTTACAGTTTGATGTATCTGGACCCTTTTTTCAGGGCAGATAAATCGGGGAAAAGGTTGTACTTAGCCTTTTTCCCTTATGGCCCTTCAATTTCCAGGCTCCCTCTAAAAACGGGAGCCTGACAGTTACCTCTGGCAGCTTCTACCAGAGGTAGCACCACGTGAGGACAAATGTCCTCACAAGAAAATAAAGAAAAGAAAAAGAAAAAAAACTAACTTTCTAATTCCTACTGAACCTGGCTTTTACCTCAGCCAGGTTCGTGCTGTTGCATGCAACAGCCTTCCCTTATTTCCCTCTGCCCTCCCCTAAAAACGGGGAGGGCAGTTGGCAGGTTGGGAGGAGTAGGACCTCCCCCTCCCAGCTCCCACGTCCCTCTCTCTCTCCCTCTATTCATGCTTGTACTGTGGGCCGTGAGATTCAAGACCTCGCGGCCACAGTAAGTTGGCAAAAAACGAAGTGGGAGCTTTTGTGCTCCCACACAGTCCAGAGGACTGTTCTTTTCCTACCACGAGGCAGCTGCCTCATTTTCACTTTTATATTTATTTATTTATTTATTTATTTATTTATTTATTTATTTACAGATTTTCAATTTCCTTCTGTTTTCAGCCTCTCCCCGTTTCTACCCTGCTGGTCCTGCCACAACAGTCACGAACTGGAAAAGGGGAACGAAGAAAAGAAAAAAATAAATAAATAAATAAAAAAATAGAAAAGAAAAACTAAAAACTTACCTGCAATGGTTGTCCTGGCGGCCGCAGCAATAGCAGTGGCCTTGGCCACTGCTCATGACTGTATTCTTCCGCGTTCCCGTGGAAGATTCATTCGACTTTGATGTGGTGCGTAGGTAGGTAGGTAGGCTCTCTCTCTCTCTCTCTCTCTCTCTTTCTCTCTCTCTCTCTTCCGTTCCTAGTCACCATTGGCGCCGGATACAGGCGCAGAGGCTGACTGTCAAGGTTCAGCCTCCTAATGAGTTGGTGAAACTCCAACGAAACAGTCTGCCCCAGTTTCGCCCATTCGTCAAAAACAAACGGCTACCCAGATGGAGAAACAAAACAAAATCTGAAAAAAGAAAAAGAGAAAAAAAATCTAAAAAGAATCTAGAACGAAATCTAAGGAAAAAGAAAAAAATAAATAAATAAAAAAAAAACTTACCTTACTAAAACGGCTGCCCGTTTTCAACGGGCGCTTGCTGTTTCTCCTGGGGACTGTAAGTCCCCAACTCCCTCCCACAGCGCCAACTGGCGCGTTTCTTTT